TCCTTCCCCCCCCCCCCACAAATATTTACATCACGTATAATAGTTAAACATACTGCCTAAATGTCACATTAGTGTAGCCTATATAATGTGTAAAGTTTAGTATACTTTAATCCCTTATAATGATGGCACACGACGAGACACACATTCAGCATGTAATGCTGTTTGAATACAAGGAGGCAAACAATGCTTCTGTAGCCACAAAGAATATCAAAGAAGTTTATGGAAATGTTTATAAGTGTCAACTATGGTTCAGCAAATTTTGTTCAGGTGACTTTAGCCTTAAAAACTGTGATGGCAGGGGCCGACATGTTGGACTTGATATTGATGCTTGTTGAGTCTAACCGAATGCAACACACTCGTGAAATGGCCCTGAACTTGCATGTCTCTCATGAAACAATACGTAAACATCTACTGTCAGCCATTTGCTGTCCTGTATTTGACATTTCAAAATTAGAGATGGTGGCAGATAACCTCAACAGCTTTGTTATTACTCAGAAACTTTAACTGAGGGAGTGAGCATGTTTAGTGGCTATGGGAATCGAACCTGAGACCTGAATTATTAGCCCATGCCAGCCCAAAGCAGTACATACTTGAACTAATAAAAAACTAATAATGATAGTTTGAAAAATCATGATAGCAATATTTTAATTACTTAGATAGTTGGAATAATTGAAAATAGTAATAATTGGAAATCCTAATTTTGATTAGTTAATTTTTGTGAATCCTGACATTAATTAAGCTAAACAAGCTTGACTTAATCAAAAGTAATGAGAAACCGTAATTTCAATTAGTTAATTATTTTCATGATATTAATCAATTTAATTATAACTTCGATTAACTGATCATTTTATGTGACTGATGTAATCAATGTTCATAGGTATTGAGTTAATTACCCAGCTATAGTTAAAAGTAGACAGGTATTACCCTTAGTACATAGTAGCAAAAATAACATTTTGTAAATGTGGTTGTAACTAACACATTTTTATATGCATCATTTATCCTTACACCTAGTTGAAAGCCTCCCTGTACCTCAACGTAAGCCTGTGAACTTATAATGCCAGAATACCTTTGGTGGGCACAACACAGAAAGCCCATTGGGTAGCTTTGTGCTTAACTACAAACAAAACCTCCTTGAAAATGTCTCATGCTATGATGAATTGTGTGATGAAACTTTAATGAAACATTTTCTGTTACTCTTTTTCTTATATTATTTAATAAATATTATAAAATAAATAGAAATATTAAGTAAAG